TATCTGCCCCGAACTATTCATTATCCGCGTGCTGCTGTTGTTGTTAGGTGTGTTCGACATCGGCTGCGGCTGGATGTAAGCGATCGGCGAGAGTAGCCGCGTGCAGGCGAGGAGGAGCTGCAAACGGAGACGTGAAGTCGGACACTTTCTGGTTCCTGTAGTGACCGCTCACGTGGTGTTTGTATACTTTAGCACAGCTGAAGTGAAATAAATGCAATATTTGCCAAATACACAGATGTTTCAGAGACATTTTCATTCAATACTTTATGTACTGCTTCATACAGCGTTTGTTTGAACAAGAATAAAGTTCAACATAAGCCTACAGCTAGGCCTACTATCAATGAAGTGGAATCAACGTTTTTTAATCAGTTTTATTTTGATAAACATAACACAATAAATCGCGACTACATGAAAAGAGTGTTTACTGTTATTAAAAAAACTGATTTGTGAGCTTTAGTGGAACTAAAGGTGTGAGAATAAACACGAAACGCACGTGATCGTTGTCATGCGGTGAATCCGGCCAATCGTGGAACAGCTGTGTCGTCATCACAGCTCGTGCAGCCCAGAGCAGCCGCTCTTCAGAAGCTGCGCTGGCTGAGTTCTCCGGCTACTCTCGAATCGCTCTCGCGGTACTTTGATGGCATACGTCACAGTCACGTGGCGTCGGCGCTGTATCAAGTCGGACAACATTTCTAACCGGCATGCACTGCTTCAAGTCTGCCGCCGATCGGTCTGCGCAGAGCTGCATGAAGTCGAACAAGCCTTTTGTCTTTGGATACAGGAAGAAGAATCGGAAATGACGCATATTGCGTCTTAAGGTTGTCCGTACGTCCAGACGCTAACCGCGCGTCGCGTTTACATCGGGATATTGCAATTCCATGTATACAGGAGTAACTCTCTCTGCTCACGCATGTAAACGGGTTATCCCTAATGTTTGAGAAACCCGAATAGTGACCTTAACCCGACCATAACCCGAAATTTGGCTGCATGTAAACGTAGTCAGTGTCTCAATTCACTCACTTCTTTTCATTCACTCTGTCAAGTGGACTATATTAGTGAACTAATGTAGGGAATAGTGAATGAGGGTATAGGGTGTGATTGGGAAAACAGCCTCTGAGTGTCGATTTTAAGCGCTGTTAATTCACAGTATATTCCTGTAGGCTATTTTTGTTTTCTATGGTATATTACTGGTTTAATGGAAAATGGTATAATATTTTTTACAGCTAGGGTTAACAGTGCAATTCATATTTATTTATAAGTAAGTATTACTATTCTATAAATATATTTATAAAGACTCATTATATTTATTTTAAAATTATTTTTTTAATTACTTATAAGTCATGCATTTGCTTTTTCAATGTGCATGCTCATAATCCATTGTACACTGATTTATAATATAAATATATGATATATATATATATATATCAAACATTAAATACATCCAGAGACACTTGTTTGCTGCACCAATTAGTTATCAATTGTGTCTTTAATGGCTAATGTTTGGTTTAGAGGTCATGAATGGTCATTTTGATTTGTTAAAATCTATATCTCCTCAGCCATATGCATGGTATTGCTTATAGTAGTTTGGAATTATACTGTAAAACATATTGTTGCATTGTTTTGCTAGTATGTTTAAATATATATATATATATATATATATATATATATATATATATATTATATATATATATTAAACTATTTTTATTAATGATTTCTGTCTTTTTTCCCCCCCATTATTTTATAACAGGAATTATTGTTCTTTAGTCATCAAGTAAACAACTTAAAATATATAATGAGCACATCTTCATGATTTCTTAACATTTGCTTTAGGAAAATTGCATCCTGTGTTTTCACTTTACTTAAAGCCATCAGGGATGCATTTATTGAGGGTAGTAACTGTATTATCATTCACAATAAGTATTTATAAGAACACAAGTATTTATATTCATAGAATAGTAATACTTTCTTATAAATAAATGGAGCTATAATTCATTTTAAGCATGGTCTTACCTAAAGTGTTACCTACAATAGCAGTATAAATGTTTCATTGAAACAAATTAAGAATGTTCACCACTCTTTTTTTATTTTATTTAGGTATATATAGCTCATTCTATAAAACGACTGTATATTATCCTAAATTATTCAAAATAATTAATATCCCTTTTTCAGAAACTTTTCAGCGAAAAAAAGAGAGAAAGAGCTAGAGCAGGAAATTACTGTTTAGGAAATTACTGAAGCCAGAATAAAGAAACAACAATATTTACAAGTAATTATATTATGTAATTAACATAAGGTTTGCAGTGAATTTTAGGATGTGCATGCATGTTTTCTAACTTTTTGGCCACAAGTCTACATAAACAGAACAGTGTGTCATTGTTTTTAAATCATTTGCATGGTGCCATAGGTTAAGCACTGGATATAAAGATATTTCATGTCATTAAGACTTCAAATACAAAAATACATCAAATACCAGATTCAAGGCTATCTTGCTATTATCCTGGACTAACTGAAGGCCATGTCAGAAGAGGACGATGCCCATCATAAACACTTCGGAAATATTTCCCATGCTGTTCTCACCTTTAACCACAGGCTTTCTTCACTAGAATGGTGTAAAAAAAAAAAAAACCTGCCTGCTGCTACTTGGGAGTTCAAGGCCTTCATCTTCTCCTCCTAGCTGCTGTGTGACTGCCTTTAAGTTTGTTTCTGTCACTTTGAAGTGACAACATTTCAACATTGTGAAAAACTTTGCCAGCCTCGATTCACCCTGCAAATCTTTTGTGGTCTCATTATCTGCTCCTGCATTAATATATTAGCAGTATGCATCCTTGGAGATTTGCTATTGCAACATCAGTATGCTTATGTCAATCACAAGGCTGAGGTCACCTCTTGCCACCGGTCAACTCACAAAGGAAAGACCTTGAGGCACCTTCCCTCCTCAAGATATTCATACTAGTTCAAATAAAATCAATATATCTTTGTCTGCAAGACTGCAGGAGTTGGGTCCCTTTCATGAAGGGGTATTGAGTGTACACATCAGTTTATAAAGTCAGCATGAAACAGAAGTCGCAATAGACTCTTCCTAATGTCCAAGTGAAACTCTTGTCGAACAAGAAAAAATTGGATTTTGTCCATCAGGAATTGATTGGAACGTTGGATGGTTGTGGTTTGCTATAGCTGTGATTTCATAACAGGTTTTAAACACATCATCAGAGAAGAGATGTTGCTGCAAGTAGGGAATGTGATTTTGATTAAAGATTGCGAGAGCACATGAATTTAAGAAAAAAAAAAATTATGTGCACTGATAATTTATAATAAATACTACAATGTTCCATATACAACAAGAATTGTCCATTTTGGTGACTTAGCTCTAATCCACTAGGCCTAGCCTAGCTTACAGGAAAGTGAATTTGAAGAAAATATAGCCTATAAGGAAAGAACACAAAAAGACAGAGATACAGAAGACAAACAACAAACGCAACCAAGGGAAGAAAAGACAAATCAGTATAGGCTATTAATTCACAAAGTATAATGTGGATAGTATTGCGCTCAGCTGCATCATCAGCAAATTCATTCACGATCAGCCGAATAGCTCTGGTATAGGCTACTGACATTTAACTTATGTGCTTGTGCAAATGCCATAGTTAATGATTCAGGCCATGATGTGCACTCTCCCTCTCCAACCTGCTTGGTTTTCCAGTTTTGGAGGAAGATATTCTCTTGATTCGATTCCTCGAGAAGTCCATTTAGGCCTATCACAGTAACCACAGGTATTTGCCTCTTATCCAGCCAGGTTATTCAGACTTCAAGGTGCAATATATTAGACTAGATAAAACTCTTTTATCTACTGTGCTGTGAAATAGAGGTAAACGGAGCAGTTGTGCTTTTATCCACAACTCCAGTCCAATCCAATAAAAAGATTTCGATGGAAATTCCATTTCCTCACCGACACAACTGTATTTTTAAATGAAACCCGTGTCACTTCAATAGGTGTCTACCACATCAATAGCCATCATTAATTTATTGACGCTATAGCCTACAGGTCAAAATTACACGATCTTTTTACAAGATTGAGACTAAAATGTATAGGCCTAGGCTAATCTTAGGCAGCAAGCAAGTTTTCAGCAAAGTAACTAGATGACCTTCAGGATCAGACTGCCAACAGACATATTAGGCTTGGAAACTGGTTGTTTGGGAGGTTGGTTATTCAATAGTTAAAGGCACACTGTAGAATAAAGACAGAAACGCGAGACCGACTTTGCATTAGTCAACGGCAATGGAACGGTATCACATTTTCTGCGACTTTACTGCCATCTAGTGGACAACAAGAAATCCGTTAGTTTTTTTTAAGTCTAGGTCCATAGGAGCAAATTACATAGTAAAACCATGTATTGAGTAAGGCAGGCCAAATACCTGATAAAAACACAAACCAACACATCCTGACCTCGTCACCTGTAAAAGGTTATCCCATTTCTTCGGGAATTTAAATCTCGGCAGTTTCACAACCAGCAGCTGCTCAATGATGTGGCATCATTGATTCTTTTACTGTGAGTGACGACACGCTGACCGTTGCAAGATGGCGGGCGCGCCTACGTGTCTGAAGCGGTCGAATGAGAAAACTACGTATGCATATCTATGGTCTAGGACCTAGGTCTACGCAGATCAATGTCGAATTCCAGTATTACCTTTTTGAAATCAGTAGAAATTTAATTAAGTTCTTTGTTCAATAACATTTCTTTAGATATATTTTATAATTCACGTTTAACTTAATGAATTTGACCAATTTAAGAAAACAAATATAATATATTATCAATTAAATGTCATAAAAACATATTTTAATGACCTTTATTTATAATTTTATTCCATAATAAGTTAATTTGGGAATACAATTATAAAACTACATTTATTTGATAAATCTGACTTTTACGTATCTACTACGTATGACATCATTGATGACGCGTGTAACCGTTGAGCGCTAATTTTCAAATGGTCGTCTGAACAGACGGAATAAAGAAAGTTTGGATCAGTTATACTGCTTATAAATCATCAGTTCATCGCAGGTAATTTGAACTTCCATTGTTTGTACTTCATCTAAGATACGGTTTCAGAGCCACAGTGTATAATTTGATCTGTTATGTTTTTTAGAAGTGTGTTTAGCGCTAGCTAGCAGGCGTTCATAAAAGGCTAACGTAAACTGAAGTGTTTGCATTTCGCTTTTGGAAATTAGCTCTAGGGATATAAGTTACACTTCTGCTCTTATATAACGTTTATTGTTGACATGTTTGTTAGCTATTCGTTTGCTCATTTTAAGCAGCTAAATAAACGTTACTTGACGTTGTTTACATGGCAAGGTCTCTTGATTTAACGTTACCAGTGTTTAAGTATAACACATGCAATATTTAGCAAACTGCACTTAATGGCAAAAGCTGCACATTAGTGGTGTATGGATATATGACGGAACAATATTGCCCCATAGTTTCGTAATGAGCGCATTCAGTACCCCGACCTCCCGGCCACGGCAGTGGTCGTCCCCGGCAATAGGACACAAAGCCGCTCTGTCAGCCACCAGCACACCTCTGCTGGATAACATCCAGGGAAACGACGATGAACAGGAGAGACGTCAAAGACGCAGATCCAAAGTCATCGGAGTGACCGACTCCTCTATCAACGAGGCCGGTAGCCACAGGTTGGTTGAAACCCCGTTCTCAGTTCCATTAAAATACAAAAACAAAAGTAAGACAGCACAATGTACAATCTTGTTTTTTCTCCATAGTTCTACAGCTACACCCGCTGCTGTCCCTAAGCTGTCATCAGCACAGATATCTGAACATTATTCGACCTGCATCAAGCTTTCCACTGAAAATGTGAGTTAAAATCAATGTATGCTGACTTTACTGTCAGTATTTTCCTGAAAATGCAACAGGGCTATTACTTGTCACCTTCCTTTTGCAGAAAATTACCACAAAAAATGCATTTGGTCTGCACCTTATTGATTACATGGCAGACATTCTCAAGCAGAAGGACTCAGAGCTCAACTTCAAGGTAGAAACCTTTCGAATTTGTATTTAGCTCCACTTCGACAAAGTTGACATGCATTATCGGAAATTATGATATTGTAACTGTATGTTTGTGTGTTGATCTAGGTGGCAGCGGGCACCCTGGACGCCAGCACAAAAATCTATGCAGTGAGGGTGGATGCGGTCCACGCTGATGCTTACAGAGTTCTGGGAGGCTTGGGCTCTGAGACCAGACCAAAAGAGAGTAAGTTGATATTCAAGTTATGGGTCTGCTGTAGGGCTGCAACAAACGATTATTTTGATAATCGATTAATCGGACGATTATTTTTTCGATTAATCGGATAAAAAAATTCAATTAGATTTTTTTGTTAATTCACTAAATAAAACCCGGTTACACTTTATTTTAAGGTGTCCTTGTTACAGTGTAATTATATATTTAAGTACAGAGTAATATTAAGTAACTACATGTACTTACTATAGGAATAGGGTATGATTAGGTTGAGGGTTAGTTGCATGTAATTATGCATAATTTACTGTTATTACTACAGTAAGTACATGTAACATATGTAACAAGGACACCGTAAAATAAAGTGTTACCTAAAACCCTAAATTAGGATATTTATGTGTAAAAGTGTACTTTAAAAAGTGCAAAAGCCACACATTTTTAGTTTTAGTAATATCAATATTTGCATTGTTTTTAATGATAATTGCTGATGGCAAGTTGACAACCATGATTAATGTAAAAAAAACAAAAAAACATTTATATCAACATATTGTTTTAACACAATTTTTGTTAAAACAAATTTACACAGACATGTTGTTCAGATGTGAAGATATAAACTAAAAACATCTCAAATATATAATTCATTTAATTTTTATTTAAAATTAATTGAATTATAAGGATACATTGATAAAATAAATATAGAAAGACTGAAAACAAGCGTGTGAACGTAGAGCCGCAGTAGATCACGTTTGAAAAAACAATTAAAACTTAATAGACAAATGCAGTAAATAGAGAACGTAATGGAGGTACGCAGCAAGCTAACAGGCTTGATTAAAAAGACAGGAAAAATGATGCATTAGTGCACAAGCATTCGCTGAAAACCACTGAGTACAGTGAGTGACTAAAACAATCTTTTACTGCTGCTGTTATTAACTGCCTTTATATTTAGTGCTTCGCTTTGTAAAGACCGTTTTAATTTAACCTATTTCTGCGGTAGCGCTATTTTAATCCTTCACTTATGTTGCGAGCAAACTGATTGCGCAACCTGATGCTCGAGACAAAATACAGACATCCCAAGTCTCCCGGAAGTTCTGGGAGTCACCCGCATATTGATAGCGGCTTATGCGGCTCCCCGATGCCCGCAAATTAGTTCAAACTCCCGGGATTTGAGCGCGCATGCGAGACAGAAGAGACTGTGCTCCAAACCGTGTAGCGCGAGCGCGCGGCAGAGCAACGGAGGGAGAGAGACCTTGCGTGTGTGCGTATGTGCCTCATGAAGCGCGTGTAAAACAGAGAGCATCCTGATTGGCCTGTTTCAACCAATCACCAGTAAACGCTCACCGTGACGTAAGCAGACCAACTAATCGATAATGACATTCGTTGACAACGATTTTCATAATCGATTATTATCGATTTTATCGATTAGTTGTTGCAGCCCTAGTCTGCTGACATGTTACAAAAAACAAAGATGACTTGTGCTGTAGGTCAGATTGGTCAGAGAGTGTCTTGTGATCATTGTCTTCATGGTGTACTGGTGGTGTCATTCCCTCTCAGGACCCTGCACAGTTTTACTGAAATCCCATCTCATTTTAGGTCAAGATGGTATCGAGGAGGCAGTAGCCGAGGGCGGTCAGGGAGATCAGGTGGCTGCTAAACAGACTAAGAAAAGACCTCAGAAGAAGACAGTGGAGCAGAACCTCAATAACATCAATCTCTCTGAATCTGAGATGAAGTGTGAGGTGATTAATATCCGAGTGTGATTGAGTCAAGTACTTTTTTTTGTATAGCACTTTTCACAATACACATTGTTTTAAATCAGCTTTGGTGTTAATGTTGGTAATATCCTTATGCCTTATAGTTGCTTTTAGCGGAATTGAGCTGGGTGATAATAATATAGTTTACCTTTTGTGATGATACAATCAATCAAGCAGTTGAGATTTACTATATAGCAGGGCTGTACGTTAACTTTTTTTGCACATAGCAGCACTGGTGCTACAGAGGTTGAAAGCTTTGTAGCACAGGCCACACAATTACCGTGTGTTCACACCGCCGCTGGCGACAGCGTCAAAGTGGCCGGAAGTCATTAATTTTCAATGTGAGCGGGCGGCGCGGTGCGTCTTGAATGGTGAGAGCATCGAGGAGAGCTGAAGTCAGGTCAACTTTATGGTAATGAGCCATCGGTTTGGCGGTAGTAGAAGTTCTCCGCTTGAGAGGATTCCAGAGAACGCAGTCAAGTAAACTTTGGTTCCGACAACATTAGTTCCCAAGCAAAATTGAGGAAAGGTTGATCATGTGAATTTTATAAGCAACACTATTTATAGGGAACATTTTCGCGCTAGAATGCTTGTTTTTCAGAGGGAATGCAAATTAGATTAGCACTTAACCATGAACACAAAAGCCACATCACACAAATGGATTTTAATTAGTTTATTTTGTTAGCAAGTTCTTTCCATCGATCAATTTCTTTTTCACATTTAAAAGATTCCATGAGGTTAATTTATACCCTACTTGGTCAGTCTGCACAAATAACGATCAACATGCTTGTTTGCATAACAATTATTATCAGTCCTTCCAGAAAAAGTTTTTTTCTGTGATTGTTTCGGGCAAAAATCCTTGATTATGCGGCCCGTTTTCTTTAAAAATGCGATGGAATATGTGGGATATTTATGCAATTTTATGCAATGAAATTGCGGGAACTTGCAAAAACTGCGGTTTGATGAAAAAGAGAAAAAAAAGTGATTCCCCCAACACCCTGTTCTCACTAGGCTACTACCTTAAAGTAAAGAGTCATTTCTTATTACTTCCTATGATAAGCAAACATACTACATCACAGAACGTGCTGGGAATATTTAAGTTCTCATCTTGTTTTATTTCAGACCTTAATAAAAACATAAAACTTACAAAAAATTGAGTCAAACAAGTTCTGTAGCTTTACAAAAGGAATATGCTACAACTTCTGTACAAATGAATAAATAAAATATAAAAAAATAAAGTGTGCTCCTGTTTTACAGCTTTTCGATGATGTTCACGTCGCGTAATTACATCACTTCATAACGTTCCCATGGCAACAGGGGGAAATGGCTGCTCTTGTGTGAAGCAAACGCAACATTTTTCAACTTTCTGCTAAGATATATGTGACATTTTTGCAACGAAAATGCGAGGATTATGAAATCATGATGCAAGCCCCGCATATTTTGCACGGAAATCGGCAATTTATGCGGTGAAAGTGCGGCGTATTTGAAAAAAATGCGGCCCCCGCATAAATATGCGGACTGATTATGCACTAAATCATGCGATAGCATAATTGCGTTTTTCTGGAGGGACTGTATTATGATCATTATATTTTACAGAAAATCATTAGAAAGGTCTAATGTAAAATATAACATGATAAAAAATCTGATTAATATCTTATTTTTTACTGGAAATGTATCCACTGAGAGAGAAAAAAACTACTGTACACTTCTCTAAACCAGAGAAAAAATTATTTCTTTCCTGTTTTTTAAGTAAGGAATAATTGACGACGGGCCGTTGAATTATTAGAGGGTGTGCATTATTTTTCTAATAATTCAACGGCCCGGAGTCAATTATTCCGCTTATACTACAGTTACCACACCTCGAAACATTGTTCAGATGATGTAATTCTAGACGTTTGTCAAGTTTTTGTCATTAAAACGCTCTTGTATGAAGGACTAATTTCTTACGCATCTAATCCCATGCCTCCGTTGCTAATTCCAAAACGTCATTTTAGAGTTAGTAACGGAGGTCTGAGCTACAGACAGCAGACTAATGCTGGGGACACACTTACGACTTGCTGAAACATCCGAAGACTGACTGTTTCCATCGACTGCAGCAGGTTCAGGTTCAAACACCGACTGAACGCGCGTTTGGGCATGATCAGTCATAAGTATCAAATTACATTCATAACCGGCCTTACAATAAGTGTGTCCCCGCTTTATGTGGCCTAGTTATTAATGCAGTTATTAGAGATAGAGAGATGTTGCAAATAATGAGACAGAAAAGCATGTGCGTCAATATTATTATTTATTTATTAATTCAATTCGTTTTAATTCGTTCATTCTTTTTTTTCTATTATTGACAGTAGACGTCTAGCCTAATAAAATAAACACAAAGCCATTTTAATAAGTAGGCCTATCAATAATTATTTATTTGTATATTATCTGGAATAATTATGAAAACCCATGCAGCAGCAGGACTATCAATTTATTTATATATTCAGTTTAATTTTCTATTGATTATAGATAGGACTATATACTTTTTTTTAATTCAAATTAAACTGCATGTGTCCATTGATTGTGAAGTTAGACATCGAAAATGGCAGATCAAGCGCATGGGCTGCATGTTTTTTCTTGTTATGAATTGTATCCTATTTTCCGTTATGACAGTTAACTATGCACAGTGATATGGAACTGTAATGCGGTCAAACCTGCCTGGAACTACTTTAGCCGTGCGTTTCCCTGAAAATAATTGCGCACCTTAGAACGTTCTCAACCAATCAGAATCAAGCATTCAACAGCCCTGTAGTATAACCCCAAATAATGTTGAGCAAGAGTACACACGCAATGTAATATCTATTTCATTCATACTTGACATATGTCGCACTGTACAGCCCTCCCTGTATAGTATATATCGCCCTATGTAAGTATACTGTATGTATGTGGATAAAGTTGAACATACTTACTTATTTATTCAACTTTATATGAAGAGCTGAGTGATAATAGTTGCATTTTGAAACAATATAACAATCACACAGCTGAGATTTGGTGTATATATTGCTTTGTGTACAAACTATATGAATCCAGGTAATGTAGGATCATAGGATGTACGATTAACTGAATATATCGCTGGTTGATAATATAGTTTACAATTTTTCACAATATGACAATCAAGCAGTTGAGATTTTTTTAGAAAGTACATATACTGAAAACTGTTTTTTTTTTTAATTTTTTAAACAAGTTGATTTATGTTGTGAGGACCCCATAAAGCATGTGGCGTAAGAGCCTACAGGAAGACCTATCCTAAAGCATTCTTTGTGCAGGTGGACCCCATGTTCCAGCGCATGGCTGCTTCCTTTGATGAGAACAGTACAGCTGGAGTGTTCCTCTCTGTGCTCTTCAGTGAGGACAGTCGCTGTGAGCTGCGCTTTCCTTCACATATGACCTTGCTGAAGACACAGCCACCTCCTGTGCAGATGCCCCATCAGAACGTTCCTGCCTCACCATTTACAGGTAAACCACACTCTGTTCCAAGTTACAGGACAGTTTACCCTTGGGTTCACTGAGCAATATTCAGTATTCAGAACCTAAATGTTTCTGCATGTGTTGTGAGTTACAGTCGTTTGATGATGGGAGTCCATTGAATCATACCTTTTTGATTCTTCCAGGTCATCTGAAGACACTAGAGGACAGGCCAATTTGTCCATCCTTAGAGGATTTCTCTTTTACTAGATGGACTCCTGAGCAGGTGAGACTGTTTTGATGACTATTTAAAGCCTCAATATGGTCTCCATATACACTCCAATTCAAAAATTTGGGGTCAGTAAGATTTTTAAATGTTTGAAGGAAGTCTGTTATAATCACAATGTCTGCATTTATTTGTATATTTTATCAAAAACAAAACAGTAATATTGTGAAATATTATTAGAATTAAAAATAACTTATTTATTTGTCTTTTTTCTTATTTGAAGAGTTCAGATGCAAAACCCTCTAAATCCGTCAGACTTATTTTCTTTAAATGAGCATTTTTTATCAGGCTCCTATGTTCACGTCCAGTAGTTTCATTTTAAAGGTACTGATAAGGTTATTAGTCATTGAATAAAATAACTTTTTTTCAAAAATGTCACTTGAGTCAATTCAGTGATTTTTAACAAATTCGATTTTCTTTTGCGTCAAAAACAGCTAAATCCACTTGTGCTTTTTTCGCAAAAACCTCTAAATCCACCTCTTTGGGACAAGACATAGTAAATAGCTGAAAAATCAATAAAAATGTAACTAGAAACACTGAAAAAGATTAGAGCACATTCATTTCAAAACTAAACAGTAGACACACCTCTTTACAGGGGGGCTGAATGAGATCTGCGATTATTTGCAAATCCCACCCCATTTCTCTGCAGTCACCTTTCTGCCCTGTCTGAATAAAGACAAAAGCCCCCCCGATTCACACAGTACAACCACATTGGCAAAAAGAATTGGCGATTAAAATAGTTTAATAGTTTTAGTTTGTATAATCAAGTAGAACAGAGCAACATTCTTAAACATCAATATCTGTGCATTTTGTATAAGAAGCTTATAAGACTTAAATAATGTAAAGTAATATTATAATGTATATCTCAAGTATAATAAATCAAATTCCTTCAAAGTTACAGCACTGCACCAAGAACTGTTATGAGTGCATGCTACACTTGCGACCAAGCTATTTTCACTGTAAAGTTACCGATTTTCTTTTGCCTTGTAAATTAACGGGAAGAGTTTTGAGGTAGATAAACGACGTTCTCTTCTGCCTTTTGATGTCAGTAGGACAGGCTCCTCCATTTCATCGTACTCCATCTTAAAAATGTAAAAAATCTGAATCCAAAAACAAAACAATCTCCTCAGCCGTCTCAAAAAATCCGTCTCCTCAGCGCACCGCTCTATTGAAACAGCCTGTACTGATTCGCGCTGCTCGCGCCTTCTGATTGGTTCTCGGGATGTAGTGGCTTTTGCTGCCAAAGGGAAGTGGCGTCTAGAGGCTTTTGCCGACAAACTGATATTTCTGAATGGGCTGAGGCTGAGATTTCGAGGATTTGAAGCAAATATATTTGTTGAACGTGTACTGTGTTCAGATAGCTTTCACTCAATGTCATTATCTCATTTTTGACGGAGGTGGCGTTTAGAGGCTTTTGCATCTGAACTCTTCATTTATTCTATTTCTAAATATTTTTAAATGTAATTTATTCCTGTAATGGCAAATCTATTTTATAAAATTTTCAGTAGCCATTACATTTCTTATCAATGTTGAAAACAGTTTTGCTACTTATTTTTCTGGAAACCAATAATCATGTTTAAGGATTCTTTGATGAATAGAAAATCAAAAGGACATTTATTTGAAACAAAAATATTTTTAACATTATAAGTCTTTACTGTCACTTTTGATCAATTTCATGCACTCTTGCTGAATTAAATAATACAATTTCTTAAAAAAAAACAACAACTTATTAACCCCTTTTCAACAGTATTATGAGTGCAATATTAAGTGTGTTTTATATTGATGTGATCATCTTTCATGTTGTCAATATAGACCTCAAACCTCAACCAGCTGCTTGAGAAGATGAAGCAGGGAGAGCATGCATTCGACGTCAATGCAGACATCGAGCCAGATGATGATGACAGTCCAGATTTTGGGGATAATTTTGATGCAGATGTGGATGAGGGCAGGCCAGGAGACTGTGAGGAGTTTAAGGAACACAGAGAAGCTTGTTCAAAGAGCCCCCAGAAAGGACGGTTAGTACTTGCGAAATGTATTGCAGCAAAGTGTTTGCTAATTTTTGAGTTACACACAGGCTCTGCTTCACAATAGGTGAATAGTTGCGGTGGTTTAATATTGTGCATTTTCATCCCAAAGACTGTCAAACATAAGCTCGACCTTAGCTAGCTACTATATTTTGTGTTGTATTTTATGTCTGAATAAAAAAAATTCTTTGCTGTTTTTGTATGTCCATTCACTGTGAGGTGTATTTGCGTTATTAACAGAGGTGTTATTCCTATTGGCGAGGTGGATATTACCACCATGTGTCTGCAGTTGTCTGATCAGCCCAGAGAGTACTCATACTTCAGTCCCAGGACCATGGCCACTTGGGTCGGACCCGGCTACTGGCTTTTCAAACCTGGACATAAGCGTAAGTCATCGACTAGCCTGGGTGTGTTTAACTATAAAAAAAAAAGTTTTTTATTGCTTTCTTAATTTAATTTTTAATGTTGCATTCTCTATTGTTCTTAGTGGTTGTCACATTAAATTTCTCATTTATCCTTTGTAGAGGATCACAAACCAGACAAAGAACCTCGGAAACGAGCACCTAAAAATCCTCTCGTTATTGACTTTAAAGGAGATATCAACTTTCACAATTACTTTCGAACAACTAGAGTAAGTTCCTGTTTACTAATTAATTTTCATGACTTCCATAATGGACAAATGCTTCATAACAGCAATTTTTTTACAATGTTTTTTAATTCCTCTACCAAAAACTTTCAAACCTTGTTGAAGTCAGCAGCAGATTAATTGGTGACAATTTGACAAATAAATATTTGTTATTTCCAGGCAGCAACCACTATCAGTAAATCGGCTTTGAACAGCAGCAATAAGAAAACCACACTTCCAGCAGACTTCCAGTATCCACCCAGTAATCTGTCACAGCTCAGCCTCAAACCCACCAACACAGTAAGAGCATGAATGTTTAATATTCCTGTCTGCATTACTGTGCACTTCAGCATTTTGGTTGTGGCAAATCTACAACATCATTAGAATAATGCTTTACAAGAGATTGACTGCTGGATTGGTTTTTGTTCATTTTACAAATTTGACTAATTTATTTTCTCACTTTAGTTCAGTGCAGAAGGAAAGAAGAGATTATCGGGAGAGCTGGGTGGGGACATAGGAGAGTATGATTACAACAACGCCAATGACACAGCCAACTTCTGTCCTGGTCTTCAGGTACACTAAACACTACTGTTACGTGTCATAGGTTGGCATGGAGACAGTCTGTTAACTGTTAGTGGTTTCTGTGAATAGGAAGGGGACAGTGAGGATGCTGAAGGCTTTGGAGGATCTGATGACTCCCAAACAGATAGACCGACCCCTTTCTCTCTAGACACAGATGACATCTCTACATACGGAGAGGACTGTCTTGTCCCTGAGCCTCACAAGGTAAGATGAGAGGACAGATATTGGGTTACTATGCTATACACTGATCATGTAGTGAGATTTTCTTTCTGTTATTTGTCAGTTATTATTAGTTTTTATTTCAGTAGTTTTGTATAGATAACTCATGAATTGTTTGCTGATCTAGGTAAACACCATTGAGATAAACTATGCCAAAATGGCCAAGAAGATGGACATGAAGAAGCTGAAGACCACTATGTGGGGTCTCCTAACAGAAAGTCCTGAAAAACCAGACAAGGTTTGTAACTGTATCTTTCTGACCTTAGTAAAGCTCTTTTATTTACTTTTTTCCGCATCTTTATGGGTAAGTTTAGAAGTTACCGTTTGCATACTGAACTTGGTGTAATAGTAATCACCCTTCAAGTAATCACATTTTAGTAATCAAACAGTAATCCTCTCTCACAAAACTAAGTTTTCTTTTCCACTATAAATTTGTCAGATCACTGAAGGCAAGGCCGATAATTAGTATTTTCAATATTCCAATTAATTTATTAAGCACATAATAAAACAACAGTGTTGACCACAGTGCTGTACAATATACTGAAATAATAAAATAAAAACAATAAATTTAGAAAAAACCTAGGACTAGTACCTGTTGCAACAATGCCTTGTCACTCATACATGATCAAAAGCTAATGTAAAAATATGTTTTTTAAATGTACTCAAAGTTGATGATTATCTAATATATTGTTCAATAGCCTTGGGGCAGCTACCGCAAAAGCACACTCACCTCTGGTTTAACCCTCTGGGGTCTGAGGTGTTTTCGGGGTCCTTGAGATGTTTTGGCATGCTCTGACATTTGTGCATTTTTCAGTTGCTTATAAACATATTAATGGCACAGGTGAAATTACACTCTATATAGCACACACAGGGCTACCATTATATGTGAGCAACATGTATGTACATGTTTGTATTTTTGAGAGAATATTGTTTATGCGTGGTTATTGAAAAAACTAAAAAATAAATTTTCTAATATATGGCCACAAATAACATACTAAATATCTGTCCACAAGACTTTTGACTAGTGGATGTTGTCGCCTAGAGTATTTGCTTCAAATTGATCTGAAAATCATTCTGGCTAATCATTCACATAAAACAATAGATTGTTTTAAATTGTGAAAAACATTTTTTTGTTTGCAAAGGCAATATGCGGATGGGCGGATCGGCCCAACCCCCTCATGAATAATTAGGCAGTTCTCACCTGAGCAGACTGCATACTAATGAGCCTTTCATTCAGGGGTGTCACACAAGAAAGAATGCAAGGACAATATATATATATAAATAAATAAATATTTATATACACACACACACACACACACACACACACACACACATATATATATATATATATATATATGTGTGTGTGTGTGTGTGTGTGTATATAAATATTTATTTATTTATATATATATATATATTGTCCTTGCATTCTTTCTTGTGTGACACCCCTGAATGAAAGGCTCATTATATATATATATATATATATATATATATATATATATATATATATATATATATATATATATATATATATATATATATATATATATATATATATATATATATATATATATATATATATATATATATACATATATATACATATATATATATATATATATATATATATATATATATATATATACATATACATATACATATATATATATATATATATATATACAAACAATCAAAATATAAATGAAAGCCAAAAGCACATTTTTAGTCACACATTTTAGCCATCCACATACCATTTTTAGCCATCCACCGCGGTAAAAATAAACCAGTCGCATTTCAAAGTCGTACGCGAAATGACCGCCAGGTGGCGCAAAGGGACATTTAGCAAAACGTAAGTGGGGCTAATGTCTATTAACAGTAGCCTAAGGATGAAATACTACAAGTTATGGTAATTTCCAAATAAGCCTACAACAAATTGTTGGTCATACAGATAAGATATAATCTTTTAAAACTGTAAAAGGTTAAAGTAGGCCTACACTCACAGGCTAAAGACAAAACGTTTTCTCGCTCATGTGAGAATCAAACGTTTGGTTATTTCTCAGTAACAAAATTCATAGCCGAGCGGTAGAACTGATGGTTCATCATCAAGATGACACAGGTTCAAATCCCGCACAAACATGGTCTGCTGTATATTTTATATTTATTATTGCAGAGAGATTTGTCTAGCTCTAAAACTCTGTTACACCATACAGTTTTGTTTTATATAGGCTATATATATTTTTTTATTTTTTTATTCCAGGCTCTCACGCCACCCCCCCGATTTCTCACGCTGAAGTGTCAACCCGGTCGGTCAAATTCCTGAAAGATATAGTTTATCTATAGATCTACCTGTTGAGCCACTCGTGATCGACTAGTTATACCGTAAATTAGTTAAAATATCCCGTAATCTATTTAGAGCGAGCGTGCATGCGAGACAGATATTGTGCTCCAAACCGTGCGCGCGCATGGCAGAGAGGTCTGTTCCCTACAACCTAGAGTTTTTAAAAACATGGTTTTAAGTAAAGTGTGATTTGCCAGGGGGGACTGGGATTTCCTTCTGGTCTAAACATCCCTACTTCTGCTGAATTATTTTAATCCCCACACCCCTCCCTCCACAGCTAATCAATGCTATAGGCTACTTCACCAATATCAAATATATAAAATAGAGATATGCAACAGGCACGTTTAAACGAAAAACAATAAAATCAAAACCAGCGTTTCAGTTGTTCATTAGTTCCAGTGGCCTTAATGCATGCACGGCTTTTCAAAATTTCACAAAGCGTGTTGAGATTATTTTGAATGAAATATTGAAGTTTATAATTAAGTGTTTTGGCACACCACGCCGAGTGACCCTATGCATTTTTCTAAAGTCGGGTTTTATTCTGGCATCGTGAGTTAGTGTTCGACAAACGCGGCGGCGCGTTCATTTAGATTAATTTATTTATCTCATTATTACAGCTAAAATAACTTAATAGGCGACTCCGTAATTTTTTGGTCATACAGATAAGAGTAGAGTAGCTTACATCGTTCAAAACTGTAAACTTGTATTCATATTAGGCTAACGACAAAAACAGTATATCTGTCCTCTCTGTCTCCGGGAACTGCGCGTCACAAAAATGAACCGAAAGCCACTTCAGCTCAGTCACGATAAGAAATCGGCTATGTCTAAAGCCTTTAAATGTCTAAATATTTAGGCTAATAAATGTTATCTGATTATGTAGGCTAATCCATATGAAAACGAGAGGTACAGAGGATCTACTCAAACATGCGCTTCCCAATGAGAAAATGACAAGACATGGGTGAAAATCTCGCTCTAATTAAATGTAGGCTAAATCGCCCTGAATTAAAATGTAAAAACATAATAATGTATTTGTCGAAATGTTGCGATATTGTTTCATTTAAGTTCATAATTATTCTATAAATGTTATTTAATTTAGCAGCATTACCACGAAGCACCGTGTTTCGATATTTATTTGAATAATACAAAATAAAATAAAAACTTAATTCACAAATTGCATGCCTGGTTGTAAGGATCCAAAGATCCCTGTAGACTTTAATATTAAGTGACAACAAATTCACAAGCGTTTTTTCAGATTATATTTAGTTTTGCTTGGAAAAAGCTGCCCCAAACCAGTTTTATTTCATCAATTATTGAAATAATGAAATATTTAGTAATAAACTTTTATGACAGAAATATCACTAGGCTACATGTAACTTAAATCATTTAATTCCTTCATTATCAACACTGTCTAGAATGGCGATTTAAGTGTGAATTGCGACTTCTCTTTGTGTTAAGTCAGCCTCAGACTCCGATAGCCTGTGGGGGGTTGGAGGGACAGTTGCTGGACAAAGGTGTTAATGTTCCTCTTTCATATGGAGAGTGTCGGATAGCCAGCCTGATGAGCAGGCAAAATTATTGTAAGGATAAATCTGTGTCCAAATGTAGGCCCCATATCTTATTAAATTATAAATATTGTAGTTTATTTATTGTAGCCTATTTAAAGTTTTTTTTTCACACAAAATTTCAATTGAAGTTATTGTAAGGTGAATTCAACAAGGCATGCTGTGTCTTTGAAGCAACAATTAAAGGTTAAATAATTTTTTCGTGATTTGTATGGCTGACACGCAGCGACATATACAGTATTATCAGCTGTATGATGTGTTTTTACCCTGAAATGATTAATTTCGAGAGAGAGACCCGCGCGCGCAGCGAGGGAGACTAAATAAACTTGTTAAAAAGAGATCCAGCGCGAGAGAGGCAAAGAGAAACGCATGTTTTTAATTTAATTATGTTTCTTTGGACAATTTTCGTTTTGTAGGCCTACTGTTTTAATTGTTTAATTTAGCTGTAATTTCTTTGGCAATACAAATTTAAAATGTCGCAAGAATAAGATTAGCCTAGTGTTTCTTATTTTGCATCGCAAAAGAAATAAACTCTAAACAAGATGCAACCCTGTTTTAAATTAAACAATTTAAACCTTGAAATGTTCGAACTTGGTTTCAAACTTAAGTAATTTTAGTGTTCTTTTACATTACACAATAATTTAGCAGACTAAAGACGAGCTTCTTCATTTTCATTTTCTGATCGGCTGACAATCTTCATCAGTTTTTGTCGTTTGTGCAGCGGCTGCGGTTCTACAGGAATGTAGCAAATTTATGTTGTAATGATAATCAAACAAAACTCTTGACTTTAAATAAGTAAACAGATATAAACAGTTACCTATTTAAGCATCAAGGTGGGAAAATATAAACGTAGGACAACATCGGTTAACAACATCTATGCTACATTGAGATTCGATCTCGGGTCTGTTGAAGCTCCTCGAAGCTCGTGTCGTTGCGTTGATCACTGAGCTATCGTCTGTACGCTGTTAAAGTTGTAAAGCCTCGTTCATGTAGCCTAAATGTTTTTATTGCAATGTTTTATGTTGAAATGTTTTCATTATTTATTCAATTACATTTCAGTAGCCTAATTTCAGTATTGTGATTATGAATTATTTTAACTACGTTTCACTTGTTGAATTCTTCTGCTACCAGCTTTCAATCGCTCTGAATCAGCGCGGTGCGGCAGCAGATTACGCATTAGAGAGAATAAACCGGAATAAACGAACACTTTTCAGAGTCTATGATTGTAGCGCCTCTTAGCGGTAAAAGGCAGCAAATACACCACACATTTTACCGCCGCGGTGGAACAGCTGATGTGGGCGTTGTCATGGCTTGCCTCGACATTTGCGTTTGAATAGCGCGCGTCGTCCGTGGGCGTGTCAGATTAACGCGTAATGAAGTGTAATGAGCTGGGGGAAAAAATACTGACAGCACTCTCTTTTCATACAGATTGCATAAACTGAGAATATTTGTTTTTTATATAAATTACTTCATTTAAAAGAAGAGAATTCAAGCTTCATAAAGAAAAACCTCTCGTGCCTGTGTGACAAGTAATCGCGGAGTTACAGTTAATCTTAGGACGCGTTTCAGAATGGACTTCACTGACAGAGAGAACGCAAAACTCGCATCATGTTTGTTTTTCTTTATTTGGTGAAAAGCACAACACTTTGTTTTTATTGTGAGTATCCACAAAAAAAATAGAAACTTAACAGGATCTAATGATGTACAACACTTATATGTAAGATCAAAATTAACAGAGTAATTTGAGTCTCTTTTGCACTGATAAGGAAAAAAGTGAGCTGGTATCGCCGGCGAGACCGCCGACCCCAGAGAGTTAAACCTAAGAACATGTAGAAGTTTTTGCATATGAGATCTTAATCTCTTTGACTTGTGAACGTGAATCAGGCTAGCAATATACGGAGGGGCTGTACCAAAGATTTAAAAACAAACATTGAAAAATCTTGAAATTAACTGTTAACCAGTGCAACGATCTTAAAACGGGGGTAATGTGGTCATATTTCCGAGTACCTGTCAACAACCTTGCGGCTGCGTTTTGGACCATCTGTAATCTGTCCATAAATAGTTTTTGAGCACCATAATAAAGCGAGTTGCAGTAGTCTAATCGAGTGAAGATTAATATGAATAACCTTTTCTGAATCCTTACGGGCTAAAAAAAGGCTTAAGTTTCTGAAAGTGATCCCAACGATATCGTTCCTCTGTATCGTTATAGCTGTGGCTTGGATTCTTTTATATTTAGAACTATATTTTTATCACTATCTTTATAGTTATTGTTGTTGGTGTGAACGGACCTTTAATCTTAAAGATCATTCTTGGTTGGATAAAACTCGTTTTGACACATTTTTAAGCACTTTCACAAACCACACCCAATTTTTTTCTGCTCTGTTGTTCAGCATTGCTTGTGGTCATTTGATTAAAAAAAAATGTTAATGATTTATTGCTTTTACCATTTACAGCAGGTGGAGTGTGAGGAGACAACAGAAGTACCTGGAGAAAAATCCTTCAGCCAGTCTGTCAGGAATCTTGTACAAAGGTACAGTTTTTTTTAAAATCCTGGTGCTGTGTATCTAACAGTCTAAGGATTGACATTTGTCATGTATATACTATACATAAATTTCTCTTTCTCCCACCAGGCTTCCCTCTTCCATGGCTACCAATCTCTCAGTACCGTTGGCTTTTGTGGCCCTTCTGCACTTGGCTAATGAGAAAGTGAGTACTACTTTCTGCTATATAATGATTTCAAAAACTACTGTAGATGTGGACGTTTGTTTAAATTTCTGTATTAGCATGTTGTTTATTATGTTTAAAGATCTACTTGTCTTGCATTAGTATGCACTGAATATTTTGTACCTTACAAGCAAAATTAGTTGTGATCTCATGACGCATCCAGAACATTTGGTTGCTGTAAATCTAAAAGCTCTTCTTTCATCAACAGAACTTGGAGCTGCACAAGATTGACTGCATGACCGATATCATCATTAAACAAGGCCACTGAGAACTGATACAAACATTTTATACAAACTCTTCTTTTTTTCTTTTTTTTACCAAAATGTAAATCCAGTTTGTAAAATACCCATGTGGGGCCAAAACAATATAGTCGAGAGAAAGATGTCAGGATCATGTTAAAAACGTTGAACAGGAAACTACCACAGAATTATTTGAGTGAAAAAATGTCAAAAGCATGAACTAGGGAAAAAAAACCAGCAGTGTGCAGTGCATGTATAATATGATTGCTTTTAAGATCTGTTTAGCAGCTTCAGTAAAAGTAAATGTGAAGTTGCTGCTGTCAATGTAACTTTTTTAAAGATGTTTTATTTAAACTGTGAAATTCATTTTATAACTATGAGGTTTCTTTTAGATGTATATTCTACATCTGATTTTGAAAAATAAAAGTTATTAAAGTATTGTTGGGTAATTCTTTATTATCTCTTTGTATATATTGTTTTGTGTCTAGTATGATGTCATTTTGGAATGGTATAATGTTTTGCATGAATACATGTAATGCCAGAGGCATTTAGGTGGAGCCAATTGTTGCTTTGGCGGAAGAAAAGAGTTTACTGTTTCGTGCATAGTACTCTTAATTATTTTGCCCTAATAATGTCAAGCATGTTAAAAACAAACATTTATTACGTAAAGTACACTGAGTTTAATCACATATCAGTAATTTTAGAAAAAGTCACAAGCCTGTCTGGCTTTACCATAACAATCTTCTCATACCTGAAATGTTGATGGCGTGATAATAGTCTGCGCTCTCACCTTTCAGGTGTTTATATGCGTCATGAATCCAGCGCCCTCTGGAGGATGCTATGGGAAGTGGCGCTACAGAGGTGGGCCAAAGCCAAATCATCGCGGCTGGAGGAAGAGAATGAATTAGAGACCAGGAAGTGTTGACACGGTGTACATCTGTTGGTCATTCGAAGAAACAGTTACAAACATTTTAACTCCAAAGGATATTGTAATTGTTTTTTTCGTGGAGTTAATAAAAACATCATATTGAAATCATGGGGATGGGTGATCCAAATAGTACGGTAAGTTGTGACCTGAGCGATATCAGCAGGTGCTTGTTAACGTTACATCGCTTGTTGAGTTTAAAAATAGACTGACTAACTTAGCTGTGTGAACTCAGTTACTATCTGTATTCGTGTAAATCATTTTTTTAGTGATGCAAAAGTTTCCACTAGAACTGGTAGATATTTTTTTGTTTAATTTTTACAGGTTGACGTAAGTAAACGCAGGGCGAAGCTCGTTTTTCAAGTTATACTTCGCTAGTTTCTACGTTCCTGTTGTCAGTTAACGTCGACAATTTGCTTGGATTACTAAAACAAATGTGCTGTTTAAATAATAGTTTAATGCTTAAGCATCCAGTTTGTATTGCAACTTTGTTGTACAGATTTGTTTACATAGATGTATTGAATTTACCTTGAGCTGTGAAGCATAACCGGTTTACAAAACCGACTGTTGAACTTATCACTTTTTGCATGGTTACTCGGTTTAGATATGTTTTAACTACAGTTGGCAAATGTGCTGATCACTTCACACGTCCCCTGTTGACTTGAAGTGAACCAGAAGTGTGAGATCCTCATGCTAGTTTGCCTCAAATCAAGTTGATCAACTGACTGACAACCATTTATTTTGTTTTGTTTAACAATTTCAACAGTACCGCATATATTTTAGACATCCTATTTGTTTGTGGCACTGTGGTTAAAATAAAGTTCATTGACAGTATTCTGAATTACTGAACTTGGCTTGTATTCAATTATAAGTTCGCTTGTTCTTGAAACCATTTGGAGACTGGTATTAGACGGACTTCAAGGAAGCAAGAATATGTTTTGCCTTGGTTTTATACAAAGAGTAAGAAAGATCGAGTAATACAGTTGTTCTTACTTATAGTGATGGACATTTGTTCCAGTCTTAATGGTAAAGCAGTTTAGAAAGCCTATCTAAAGACTTTCAAAAACAAATGCACACTGGTAAATCATATGATAACTAGATGCATACATTTTTACTTTTTATTATGTTGTTGCCATATCACATAGTTATAGATATCACATGGAACCATTTCTCCACAATGATGGTATTTCAGACTGTCAGTATCTGATGTCACCTAATAGCTTTCTGCCATTCTGCAGGCCTTGTGACACCAACTCCAACAGCCATTGACTAGAATGGAAAGGGTAGGACAGGTAGTGACGCAGCTTTGCTTTTGGTTTCCTGGTAACACCCTTTGTTTATGAAGTATCAGTAGTGCAAGAGGGCTTAGGGGTGTTTAGCATGACTAAACATGCCCAAATGACACTGAGAACAGTACAAAAGATGGCTATTAAGGTTCTTGCACTGCATTTGACAGTTGGTGTTTTGATGTGTGAATGTGGTAAAGCTATCTTATTGCTTTTGTCAAAATCACACTTAAGGTGTCACGCCTAATCATTAGCATCTAAAGGCAAAAAACTGAGCAGTTTTTTATAATAGCTGTCTGATCATGGTATACAATAAATGATGTATTGATGTTAGTTTTATTGTTAAGTTTTTTTTTAAATATAGAGATAGACAGTACTTTATTGTAGCAATTACTGTATGTTTTTAATTGCTTGAATCATGAATTCCCTTAAATCAGAATAATTAAATGCAGCTGTCTCCATATATTCAAGACACGTACATAACAGTCATAAAGACACTATTATGTTTTATTAGGGGTTCAAGTGTGTAACGCTGAACTCCTATTGTAAATGTAGGGGTTTGACTACATATTTGTGGGTTTGACATTACATATTATGCAATGTTTTACACATTCATACATTCTTCCAGTGGTGGGCCGATATGATATTCATATCATATGTTAGATCTCCTCATACTGAACAACCACTGCTGTCAATTAAATCATTCATTACATCTTTGAGATTATTTAAAAAAAAACTTTTGTGAACTAGCTATAGGTTTTTTGATCATCCTCAACAAACTCACCGTAGTACAAAATCTCTGGACTGTCTAGATCAATAATTATCAAAAACATAGTATTTGAATGGCTATAACTGGGTCATTAAAAATATGGGTGATGAAATGTGCCCAAAACATATCATATAATTCCTAAACAGAATCATTAGAATTTAAAAAAAACTTGGTAACAACATGTGACACGGAGACTTCAGATGCTCCAATCACAAAGCCTGTGTGAATTGACGACTCAACACGGGCGATATGGACTCTCTATGGTGGACGGCACTGATCCTCAACAACTCGTCTTAATACCGGCGTGATTACTTGGACTTCCAAAAGATGAAAATGGGTAAATACTGAATGTTCCGATCCAATCTGACTTGTAATGCTGCCCGAATCATGCACTGTTCCTTCGTTGGTCAGAGGAGAACTGGCCCCCCGACTGAGTCTGGTTTCTCCCAAGGTTTTTTTTCTCCATTCTGTCACCTGATGGAGTTTTAGTTCCTTGCCACTGTTGCCTTGGCTTTTGGCTTGCTTAGTTGGGGACATTTAATATTCAATAATGTTATTGATCTGCCTTACTTAAGGTGGACGCTGACGCAATTTTCTTTTAGAAACAAACTTTGTTATATTGTTTTCATGTTATGTTATCACTGTGAAGCGCTTTGATACAATCTGTATTGTAAAAAGCGCTATATAAATAAAGGTGACTTGACTTGACTTGACACATAACTCTAAAAAAGCCTGTAAACTTTTATGGAGATTGGACGATAGGTGGCACTACAACAGTTATAAACGTTAAAGAGACTAGATTTTTATGGTAAATTATGCTATCTGAAAATTTCTTTTTTCATCTCAGAACTTAGTTTTGTAAAGGTCTGTAATCCACTCTGATTTAGGTGCTTACAGGCTTCCTAAATAATACATAGGCTAATATTTTTTTTCGCATGCACTTAACAGTTTGAACTTCGATAACGGATGCTTGCGGATGTATTTTATTGAGTATTTTAGTTTTTGCAAATAATATATGTATTTTTTCTGCATAATTCTAAACCTTACATGCTATAATTTATATTTATGGGCCAGATAAAATGCTGGCTGCAGAACAGTACTTTTTACAAACGTTCCAGTCTCTATTCAAACTGCTTTATCATGATGAGTTTCTATCTCATTGTATAGATTTTTGTTGCCTTCCATTTCTCTTTTTGACAACAATGCGAGTTATTTTGCATAACTGTGTGCTTGTGCCATTTTGATCATGTTTTGGTTTTTAATTCCTCTAAATGCAGGAGCCGAGAGAAGGAGAGTCTTCACAGGAGGTGGATCCAGTTCGATCTCTACAGTCTCAAGTGGACGGGGTCAAGGACATTATGACCCAGAATGTCGATCGGATCCTGGCCCGTGGAGAAAGACTGGATGATCTGATGGGCAAATCTGAAGATCTGCAAGCTGGGGTGAGTCTTTAAGTACAAAAACTTTGTTTCTTATCACATATTACAGCTCTAAGCCTGGCACACTGTTTTTACTATGCACAAAACCATCCAAACGTTTGGGTTCAGAAAGATTGTCTAATATTTTTCAAAGAAGTCCCTTGCGCTCACCAAGGCTGCATTTATTTGATAGAAAATAAATACAGTGTGAAATATTACAATTTAAAATAACTGTTTTCTATTTGAATATATTTTAAAATGTAATTTATTTCTGTGATGGCAAAGCTGAAATTTCAGCAGCCTTTACTTCAGTCTTCAGTGTCACATGATCCTTCAGAAATCAATCTAACATAACAAACTATTAGGCTACTGTATGCGGCTGTAGTCCCACACTTGTTGACATTGTACTGGTCTTTGTTTTCTGCTTTTCAGGCCCAGAACTTCAAGCACACCTCTCAGAAGGTTGCTCGCGCTTACTGGTGGAAGAACGTGAAGCTGATCGTGCTTATTGTTGTGATAGTCCTCGTCATTGTGCTGGTTATCATATTCCTTGCCACTGGTGTGATCCCAACCGGTACACCTGCAACCAAACCTCCCACCACACCACCCTAGGATTTCTGTTAGTTACAAACACACACACACACACAAACACATACAGAAATATGCAACCATGTTCACATACCAAGTCAAAATTTCAAGAATTCACACACACACACACACACACACACACACACACACACACACACACACACACACACACACACACACACACACACACACACACACACACACACATACTCGTTCTTTGCACATTTTGCTCATATACCCTCATATACCTTCACATCTCATGGTATCACTTATTACGAGGAGCTTCCATTATGACAGCTTTGAAACATTGAAATGAAGGATTTTAAGTAGTCTATAGAAAGAATGCTGTCTATTTTCTTACATACTTCTCACCTCCTAAAACTTCATCCTAATGGCCACTTCGGTTGCCTTTATGATTCTCTAAAGCCTGATAAAATGCCACAACTGTAATTAATTCCTTCAATTGCTGCAATATTGTTCATACTGAAGGTATGCTTGAAATAATCATATACTGGCATTGAATCAGAAAAGGTAATGGGTGAAAGTTCTTTCTATTGAGCTATGATGTATATTTAAGTCTGTTAGATTAAATTACATAATATATTATGTGTAATTATGGAATACTTTTAGATCTCCAAGTGTCTCTATTTTGTACTCTTGTACTTTTGTCGTCTCCACAAGTATGTATGTCATTTGTAAAAGGTCAAACCAGAATGTGTTCTTAAAACTGTTGCATTATCCAAAACACACCTTTTCATTAAGTAATTATATTGTGAGATGTTTGGATTTTTTTCCCCTGTCTTTAATGTTTACTGAAATTTGCAATGCCCCTAAGCTTCAAAACAGAAAAACAGATTTTCTTCTTATAGAATGAATGAAAGATTTTTATGAAACGAGCACCTGAACAAGGCCATTTAGATTTAGATTGACATTAGAAAGCACAATTTTTTTTTCTATCCTTGTCATAAATCACTGTATTGAATTTGATACGCAGTGTAACACTTGCACTGTACCACATGCAGTCAGTACTGTAATCATAATTTGTTATCGCATGTGGGAGCTTTCTGAAACCCAAAGCGTAACTTTTTACTGTATAGAAAACCGAGCAAGGAGGAATATTTTAGAGTCTGTGGTGTCATTTTCAGTTTGCAATAGTTTTTGTTGGCTGGTCTTATAATCTGCTGAGTAGCTTTATGCACTTTTGCTTCGGAGAGGTTAAGGCACTGTATGCCTGTCTATCTGTATGTAGTCAGAATGACTTGAATGTTTGTAAAGTCTTATGCTGTATCCCTTGTAGCTTCCATTAACATCATACTGTATGTAGTATTCTACCCCAAACCTTTTAATCAAAGACATATGTTTAAACACTTAAAATTTGTAATCAATACGTTTAATCGATTTAAGTTTTTGTCATCTACAAATAATCATTTTGAAACCTCAATCAAGTGCCTTGAAAATGAATCTTATTAGTGTAAACAGCCTGGAAATGCAATATTTTGTAAATAAACATGATCTCTCAATAAAACTAATGATGAGTATGACATGTTTTTAATCCTCTTATTTGAAATGTACATAGACTAATGGCAAACAATTATCAAATACTGTTGGGTTTGTGTTTAATTTCCCATGTCCACCATCTGGTATGCAGTAGATCTCTAGAGAGGGACAAAATGCAAGTTTTAGATATTGCAAATGCCAAGGACTAAGTTATGTACGTGATGTGATGTATGTGTAAGGGATGGGCATAGCCGGAGGTAAATAATGGATTGTATTCTATACATTCTAACTACATTTTAAAAAAATGGTTAAAAAAGAGCAAGTACATCCAAGCCAAGTTTTTTCCCCCCAGCTGTGATTTTATCTTGTTTTTCTTACACCAGCTGCAACTCACTTTTCCCTCCAGAACCAGATTTCCTTCAACAAGTTTTCTATTATGATTGATTTGTGAATCGGTTTAACGTATTATTAAAAAAAAAATCGATTGATAATGATGTTTTCGAATCGGACAACGTCTTTTTGTGGCAGCTTGACTTTTGTGAACTTTTTGTGAATACATTACAATACAAGTACTGGAGTGCATTAATTTTAAAGGGCACATTTGGCACATGACCAAGAACAATATATCACAAGTTACTGGCAGGCAGTGTAACCTATGAGTGTAACTAGCAAGTCAGGAGATGGGCGTTTACATAGACTGCCATGGCCATGCGGCTGCGCAGTGTGATTTACCCGCCCAGTAGATAACAGCCGTTCCTTACAGCAGCAAGGCAGAACTTTAAAGCCTTGGATTGGAAGAGTTGCTAAAACACGCGCATTCATTTTTATAGATATCGAACTTGTATTGTTTTTTATTCTTCAGCTGCTGGTGTCTCTTTCAGATGCAGTATATTCGGTCACAGTTTCTGGTGTGGTAAAACGACAGAATAAAACAATGACAGTAAGTTGTTTTGTCTTTTTGTTTCGTTTTCGCACTTACGCTGTTATTAGATTTATTAGATTAGATTAGATTAGATATTAAAGTAAAAGCATGGCAATGTAAAGGCTGAATAACTTTTAAAAGCAAATTGTTATAAACAACTTATAAACAAACAGCAACTTTGTTATATAAATAACGTTACAGATAACTCGATGTAAACGCTGCAAACAGTTTAAGTTTAATGTTGTGGTCCAATTTCAAACACGTTTAGTTTGTTTCAATATGTGTAGGCCTAACGTTATATGCCACTAAATTGTGCAAGTGATGTTATAAATTAAGTTTAATTTTGATGACTGAGCGATTTTTCTGACAGGCTATATATGTAGCAGCTCTCAATTCACTTTATTTAATTGACGTATATGATAGTGTATAGCTGATACGCATCGGGTTGTGGTTTACAGTATCATTTAGTTCTTTATGAGCTGTTTGAATTTGAAACATAGGCCTACCTTGTTTTTTGTGTGTGTTTTTTTCATATTACGTGTCATTTGAATGTCATCCAGTAGGTCTTTAACCCTTATTGTTGGTTCATCTCAGGTGGCTTGAAATGACAGCCTCACAAGTGTTTATTTGAACACAAGAGGGGATTTTTGCCTTGTCTCAAGGAAATTCCATATTCATTATAACAGTCACAATGAAAGAGGAAGGAAGAAGGCAAAGAAAGGATGTAAAAAGAGATGTGCATCCTGTAGTCCTCTGTTCATATGAGTGATGATAAACTGATTATACTGTTCATTTTAAAGGTGTCTATCTATCTATCTATCTATCTATCTATCTATCTATCTATCTATCTATCTATCTATCTATCTATCTATCTGTCTGTCTATATGTCTATTTATATGTATGTCTGTCTGTCTGTGGCCCATATTATGGTGATATTTTACTAAAATCTTATTTGTTGAGGTTGTTTACATCCATCCGTAAGTCTATCACTGTTTTTCTTTAGCACCTGTAATTAGATTTTTTAATTCATACACACATTTGTTTATTTATTTACTGTTTCTTGTACAATTTAAACAATATGATAACATTTAAACAAATGTTATTAAAATTAAACATTGAAGTTTATTCATTGGTTTATTGTTAGTAGATACAAATCTCTTTCATGCTGTTAATATTTACCAAAAAAATAAAAAATAGATGCATAGCCTTCAGCATCAGCAACAAAATATGTGTGTTTCTCCTCCCTTTTAAAAGTTGATAAACCTTTTTAGTATTTGCCTTTTAGTATTTGAGTTTAGCATTGTTTTTTTCCTGCGACCCACTTTTGAGCCGTGACACACCGTTTGAGAATCACTGTTCCATTGTCCATGGTTCTTTTGTGAGATGGCATGAAAAATAAGTGGTGTTTCCTGTAAAATTAATCATTTCATTGATCTTTGCTTGACAGTTTCCCGTCTATGATGTTCCACTCATCAACTAAACCTTGACCTCAAGTTACTTGCATCCTTCTGAGCACAAAGAGAGGAATCAACAGTCTGAATCAGCTGATATACAAATGATATGTCTGATGCTGTAGAGACTGCTAATGTCAGGAAGGTCACAATCTATAAATGCCCTATTTTATGTTGTTTTCACAAAGGCCTCATTGTGGGGTTTGATGCAATGGCTTCTAGAAATGCAGTTCGTTTTTCTCTCCCTTGTGCTGTTCCTTGTTAAACTGTGAGAGAGCAGAGGCACTGTTCCAGAATTCCATTCCCAGTGCTTGGAGTAAACAGAACTCTTAGGCCATTATGATGGGAGGCGTCCAGGAAGTCTTCAATGCCACTTTTTACTTTTAATGGTTCATTGATTGCATTTCTCTTGTGTTAAATATCTAGTGGGACATTCAATATCATCTAGTACCTCTAGATGTATGGATGCGAATGCATGATTTGTATAGGATGTTTGCCTTTCTTAATAAACCATTTCATCTGTCCCCAGGAGAATGGGCAAAGCCGCCTCCGTCAGGCCCAGGAGGATGTGGAGGAAGTTAAACTTATCATGCTGGATAACATAAACAAGTCTGACGAGCGAACAGTTAAACTCGGGGAGCTGGACAACAGAGCGGAACAACTACGAGAACAGGTGGAACCTTAGTTTGTGTGATATTTATTAAATAATAACAACATAAACTATCATTTCATTCATGCACATAAAACAGCTTTTCAAAAAAGCATGCCTACTTATTTACTCATTTTATGGTCCCATGAACATGTTTTTTGGCTCATTGAGGACTCTGATGACCATAAACTGGTTTTCCGGAATTTCAAGTGTTTATAGGGAAAGCAAAGGCATGTCATATTGGAGTCTATTAATAGTGTCTAGGTGGGGTGTACGGAAAAAAAGAGTGTACAATTTGCATCCTGACTTTAGTTTACCATGTTAATTTTAGAAAGCTATTTCCTTTAGTTATGAAATGAACAAAAACTTGTGTAATAGTATGGCAGGCTGTTTATGCAGGATGTGCCATCATGTGGTAAGGCAACAAGTTCACTTTGGTTTCATGCAAGAATGTGTAATGAGCACAATGTGATATTGGTGTTACTGGTTCAAACAAAGATTATAATTAAAGTTAGGAGAACAAAAACCAATTCAAGCACATTACAAAGACTCACATTTTTCCTTTCCTTGTTTCTCATATGAAGAGTCTCTGTAACAGTCAGTTCTAATTAAAAAAAAAAAAAAAAAAAACTACTTTTTTGTCATTTTGTCATAATTTTAAATGTTTTAAAAATATATATTTTTGGTCATATTAAATTATTTAAAAGGTTGTATTATTTGTTTTCAGAGCAAAGGATTCTCAAAGACCGCGACTAAAGTGAAACAGAAGAAGCGCTGGGAGAATATTAAGTACAAAGTGATAATAGCGGCAGTTGTTGCTGCAGTGGTTATTGGCATAATTGTGGCAGTGGCAATGAGTTTTAGCAGAGAGGACAGTCAAAACACACCCCCAGCCACACGATCAACAGAAGCACCAAGAGATGGCTAGAAGATAGGCCAGCTGACTAGAAGATGCGTGAAAATGCCTCAGAATATCACCTGGAAAATCTTGTTTCTAGTACTTTTGTTAAAATAGCCTAAACTAGAGTGAAGTTTCATAAATCACTAAATGCACAATCAAGAGTATGCTAAAAAAAAAGTGGTGAGTGATACAAAAATGGTACCATGGTGTCACCATCTTTTCTGCTTTCACTTTCATTTTTCAATGGTAACACACATAGAGTATGCTGCATTAATTTTAACCGTTTACATGGATTCTTGTAGGACAAGCCATATTTTAACCACAAATTGGATAAATCGGAGCCAAAAGAGGGTTAAAGTGTAGCATGGGAAGCAAATTATTGTTTAGACTTCGTCAGGGAGCAGAGCATTTTGTTTTTCAAAACAAACTTTCTTGATTCTTATCTGACCCATTTCAAGTCTTAGAGTCTCTACAAACAAGCTGTTGAGTTTAATCAAAATGTGTAAATAAATAAATGTTTCTTATGTAAATATACCATGTCTGTTGTTATTTTATTTTTTTTCTCAATGTGTCATATTTATTTCTGTATTTATTTTCTTTTATAATGCCCGTAGAGCTTTTATAATGACTTGAGTGAGTTCACATTTGACAGGTGTCGTGTAACATGTCATGAAAGACGTCATGCAGTCAAAATAGGAAATTGGAATTAAAATATAATTATAATTATTATATTAATCATTTTCCGTTATAATTAATCATTTTTAATCGTTTTTTTCCCCGTTATAATTAATAATTTTTATATTATTTAACTAAAATGTGGAGCTCGTGAAACGAGAAAGGTAAAAAAAAACGCCACCTGGTCGAAATTTTAAGGTTGAAAAAGCAAATGTAAAAGTGACAGGGTTTGCTACACGACCAACGTTTGCACTATTAAATGTCCACAATTAGGCTATAGTCTACGTTTAGCAGGACGACATAGCCTAAATATGAATTATGAGAAACATAAAAAACGTTCACAAAAGAACATAACTTACACAGCTACGTATTATTCTTTTCTCTGTAACGTTATCTAAAAATAAATGCGAAATCAAATAGAAATTCTGTCATCATTTAACGTTACTCACCCTCAAGTTGTTCAAAACCTGTATACATTTCTTTCTTCTGCTGAACACAAAAGAAGATCATTTGACGAATATGGGTAACGAAACAATTGATGGCCCTTATTGATTTCCATATTATGGAAGAAAAAAAATACTATGGAAGTCAATGGCTACCGTCAACTGTTTGGCGCATTACCCTCCGACACTCTTCCAAATATCTTCTTTTGTGTTCAGCAGAAGAAAGAAACCATGCAGGGTTGAAGTAACTAAAGGGTGAGTAAATTATGACAAAATTATTTTTGGGTGAACTATTCTAATTTGTAGCGCGCTTGTTGTGAATTGTGATCTGGCAACAACACCAGCAGTGCCCGTTCGTTGTTATAGCAACGTCAACTAAAACCAGAGCGCATTTTCGGTTGCGAGAGTCTACAGTTTTCTCATGCACATTACAAACTTTATTATATAGTTATTCTCACCCAAACGACTACAAGAATGGCTCACCATGACCCTCGAGTGGAGTGGATTAAAAACGCAGTGTGTGTGCTGTTTGATTTGCCTGATTCAGGCTGTTTTGAGGAGTTACTCAGTCGCGGTGATGGAGAGGAAGAGCAGAAAATCATAAGCTTTTTAAACATAGTCACAGAGGAAGAGGCGCCATCAACGCTTTTTTTCTTCAAGAATATACGCGAAGAAGAGGTTGAAGTGGAAATTCCTGTTGGTACGTTTATATTTTCAACTGAACTAGGCCTAACTTACCTGTTTACTATTCACAGTAGTGCTAACAGTTTACACTGCAGTTGTTAACGACGTTCTCAGTTATCGAGTTATCTCAAAAATCAGTTATCGTTTTGTTCACTAAAGCTGATAAGTCTTAAGGACATTTCTGTTATATATATATATATAAACGGTATCCATTAATTTACGTGTTTAATAATACATAATTAATTCCCCAGTCCATACACACCAAGAACCGGTTGAAAGTACGGAGAATGACTCAGAGAGAAGTTCATCTGTTGCGTCTGAAGGGACACTCCTCTCAGATAGAGAGAAAACCCCTGCTGAAAGTGAGTCTGCTTCCTCAGTCCTCATTAATATGATCAGAAAGAAATTCATCAAACTAAGTTACAAGTTGTTCTTGTCTTTTTTTCCATTGCTCACACACATGACTGAAGAGAGAAGAAAAGTTAAAAAAAGAAAAAGCCATGAGTCCTCAAACCCAGAAGACTCTCAGAGTCCGGATCTTGCAGTTGAGGGCCTGTCAGAGGCAACAAATGTGGATAAACCACCTCCCAATGTAATTCTCAATTTATTATATGAGAATATTTATTATATGAGAATTATATATATATATATATATATATTCTGTTTTAGGACAGGAACGAGATCTTCGCAAATACGTTTAATACGTTTTATTTATTTTATCAAATGATTAAATATGTTTATTATTAATCAAGATGTGTATGAGATCTTATTTGATTACTTAATATTATTTATTATTATTAGGCCTATTGCTGTTTTATGATGCTTTGACATTTTTCCCCCATCACAAGACTGAGGTTCAGATTGTGTATCATGTAGAGCTTCATGTGGACGTGAACAATATCCCGGAGAGGTTCGAGAAATACAATTTCCTTTACTTCCTGAGGAACACTAAAGGTAGGGGGAGTACTCTCAATTTGTGCCTCCCAAAATTTGCACATTTAACTGATATGTCTGGTGTTTTATCCTATCCAGAAACCATCATTGAACCTGTGGACATGCATGAGGCTAATAATTTGATGCCCAAACTTATTGAGTTTGGCATGATGAATGACAACCCCTTGATGATGCTGAGAGGGCTTCTCAACCATGTGTGTGACTAAATCTCTTACTCCCATTCAAAATGAATTATCTTTAATTATACCATGGAACTATCTACACTGAGCTCTTTCCTTGCAGGTGTATGTTCCTCTTCTCTCAGTGAACCAGCTCAGGATCACTGATGGTGGCTATAATGGTGTTGCTGGCTCTCAAGACTCTCAAGAGAAACAGCAGCCTGCGGAATCCCGTGGAGCTTTTGAGGTCCGAGATGATCTTCTCCACAGCACACATAAATTCTTGCAGGTCATAGACCAAACCTTACTACAGCTGGAAGGTAGGCTAGTTTTTCAATTTTTTTGAAAGAGGTATCTTATGGGTATCACCAAAGCTTATTTTACTTAATCAAAAATCAGTAAAAACAGTAAAATTGAGTAAACAGTAGAACAGTAAAATGTGAAATATGATTACAATTAAAAATAATATCATTATATTATATAATATGTAATTTATTCATGTGATGGCAAAGCTGAATTTTCAGCAGCCATTACTCCAGTCTTCAGTGTTTTCCTTCAGAAACCATTCTAATATGTTGATTTGGTGCTCAAGAAACATTTCTTATTATTATCAATGTTGAAAACATTGCTTAACATTTTGATCTCTGTGTTTTAGGTGAGTTTAAATTTCACATTCCAGATCTTGATTTGGAGGGAGAAGTGGAGACACTCATGTCTAATCCAGGGATGGTGGAGAAACTTGAGCAGTGTGTGATGAATTGGCACACACAAATCACAATTGTCATCCAAGAGCAGAAAACTAAGCAACCACAGGTTTGTAAAATTTCAAATGAATGAATCAAGATGGAATTCTTGTTAAGTTTTCTACTCTAACCTAAACAGATAATGTAAAGGATTACCTGACTGACTGTTTTTTCACTATTGAAGGGACCTGGTCCTTTGGCAGAGATTGAGTTCTGGCGTGAACGTTTTGCTGTCTTGAGTAGTTTGAGTGAGCAGCTGAACCTGCCAGTGGTGAAGAAGATTCTGGATGTGTTGACCCATGCCGACTCATTCATAATGCAGGAGCTGGAAAAGACTACATCTGAGCTTAGAAAATACCACGAGGAGTCTACCAGTAATGTACAATTCCTCACCACAATGGAGAGACACTTCAGGGTGAGAAGTAACCATTCCTATGTTGCTGCCCCACACAGGAATAGGTCTAGGAATAGGAATGCGTTTATTCATAAAGTGCTTTGTACAATACCAGTTGCTTCAGCAGCTTTACAGTAAAATTCAGTTTTGGGAATCAGTATTTTCCGTTTTCAAGTACAATTACAAGTACAACAAAGCATCCCAATAACAAAATCCTTATTTAGTAATCTCTATATCGTTCTGAACCTGTATGTTGTATTTTTTTCTCTTTTGGAACGCCATAGGGGTGAGTAAATTAGATAATTCTAGAATTATAAATAGAGAGGTCCCCCACCAGCAGAGCAGCATGGCTCAAAAATATATAGTTACTCATCAATGTTTTATTATTTACAGAACCTTGTCACAGGACTGGATTTCAAAGTGGTCTTGGACACTATTCCTCAACTGATGAACGGGCTGCGTTTGATCTGGATATTATCCAGGCATTACAACATAGACGAGCGTTTGGAATCTTTGATGGAACGCATTGCCTGGGAACTATCTGAACGGGTTGCGAGAGTCGTAAATGTCCGTGTTCTATTTAAGTGAGTAAGCAAAATCTGTAAAAGTCAACCCACAAGCCAGCACAAAAAGATGAAAATGTTGCATTTGAAGTGACTTTTGTTTGATGTGGAAAAAAACTAAACAAGGCTTACACTTTTTATTAAATGTTTAATCAATTTAGAAGTTCCACACAATGTTAATTTATAATGATTGTAATTCCCACATTAATTGATATAATGCAGAGACAAGAGAGTGGTGGCCAAAGCCAAAGCTCAGGATGGAAAGCAAGTCTTGGAACGGTGGAAGGCCAGTTATTTTGAGGTCCGTGCACAGATTGAGAAATCAGACCGTGATCCCCGCTGGGAATTCAATCGCAAAAAGCTGTTTGAAAAGACAGACTATATGGCTTCAGTCTGTCAGGACTTGTATAACATTTTGCAGGTTTGCCAAATTAGATTA